ATGTCATAGCTTTCCTTCCAAGGGGCAAGCATCTTTTATTTTCATGGCTGCAGTCACCATCCCAGTGATTTTGGAGCCCAAGAAAATAAAATCTGTCACTGTTTCCACTTTTTTCCCCTTCTATTTGTCATGAAGTAATGGGACTGGATGTCATGACCTTAGTTTTTTGAATGTTGAGTTTCAAGCCAGCTTTTTCACTCTCCTCTTTTACCTTCAGCAAGAGGCAATTTAGTTCCTCTTCACTTTCTGCCATTAGAGTGGTATCATCTGCATGTCTGAGGTTGTTGATATTTCTCCCGGCAATCTTGATCCCAGCTTGTGATTCATCCTGCAAGATATTTCATATGATGTACTCTGCATAGAAGTTAAATAAGTAGGGTGACAATATACAGCCTTGTTGTACTCCTTTCCCAGTTTTGAACCAGCCAATTCTTCCATGTAAGGTTCTAACTGTTGCTCCTTGACCTGCATACAGGTTTCTCAAGAGATAGGTAAGGCAGTCTGGTACTCCCGTCCCTTTAAGAATTTTCCAGTTTATTGTGATCCACAGAGTCAAAGGCTTTAGTGTAGTCAATGAAGCAGAAATAGATACTTTTCTGGAATTCCCTTGCTTTTTCTATGACCCAGCGAAGGTTGGCAATTTGATCTATGGTTCCTCTGCCTTTTGTAAACTCAGCTACTAGAACTGGAAGTTCTTGGTTCAAGTACTGCTGAAGACTACCTTGAAGGATTTTGAATATAAACTTGGTAGCATGAAATGAGCATAACTGTATGGTAGTCTGAATATTCTTTGGCACTGTCCTTCTTTGGGATTGGAATGAAAACTGACCTTTTCCAGTCCTGTGGCCAAATTTGCTGTGCAAATATTGAGTGCAGCACTTTCGCAGCATCATCTTTTAGGATTTTAAATATCTCAGATGGAATTCCATCACTTGCACTAGCTTTGTTCATAGTAATGCTTCCTAAGGCCCACTTGACTTCACACTCCAGGGTATCTGGCTAGGTGAGTGACCACACCACTGTGATTATCCGGGTCATCAAGACCTTTTTTGTAGTTTTTTCTGTGTGTTCTTCCTGCTTCGTCATCATCTCTTCTGCTTCTGCTTGATTCTTGCCATTCCCGTCCTTTACTGAGCCCATCTTTGCATGAAATGTGCCCTTGACGTTTCCAATTTTCTTGAAGAGGTCTCTAGTCTTTCCCATTCTATTGTTCTCCTCTATTTCTTTGCATTGACCTTTTAAGAAGCCTTTCTTATCTCTCCCTGCTATTCTCTGGAACTGTGCATTCAGTTGGTATCTTTCCCTGTCTCCCTTGCGTTTCACATCTCTTCTTTTCTCAGCTATTTGTAAAGCCTTCTCAGACAACCACTTTGCCTTCTTGAATTTCTTTTTCTTTTGGATGATTTGGTCACTGATTTCTGTACAATGTCGTGAACCTCTGTCCATAGTTCTTCAGGCACTCCATCTACCAGATCTAATCCTTTGAAACTATTCGTCACCTCCACTGTATAATCATAAGGGATTTAACTCAGGTCATACCTGACTGGTATGGTATGGTCACAGCTATCTCAATTTAATCACACATTTATTTTGGTGATTACTTGATCAAAACCATCTCCCCATCATCAGGCTGTGAGCTCCCAACAGGGTCCTCTCGCCTATTCAGCAAACTTGGATGACATCTGTAGAAGAGAGGAAAGGGAGTGGAGGGACTGACAGACGGCCTAGGAACCTGAAATCATATCCCGTAAGTCAGGGCTGAAGCAACAGACATACTTAGCCGGAAGACACACCTGGTGGAGAGATGTGGTCTCCAAAGATCTCAAGAGCTGTCTGTCCTGAGAAGCATGGATTAGTGGAGCACTCTGTGGTCCCAGGGATTGGGTAAGAACAGGATTGACGGGTAAAAGTTCCAGGGAGACAGAGTTCAACCCCAGGGCTCTAAGAGTTTTCAAAGGGCCAGGGAGAATGAGCTGACATCACTAGAGAAGCTGGGTCAGAGATGCTCAAACACTTGGTGAGGCCATTATAGGAAACTTGAACCACAGATGAGCAGCCACACTAGAGGCACTTCTAAGGTCCCTCCAACCCTAAATGAACGTTCCCGGCTGTACCACACTTCTCAGACACTCAACCATCTGCCCGTGAATTGTCAAGCTCCTTCTCTGTGCTGGAAGCCTGCTGTCCCCTATACCTGCAACAGCCCACCCTCCCAGCCCCCTCTGCCCAGCTGGCTATCCTCGTGCGTGAACATCAGCTTTCTGTGTATCCACCCTACCCCAAGGAACCCATTACCAACTCTATTACTCTTTACCTGTCTGCCTATCACCATTGTTCTGCCTTCACAGCACTTAGCACTTGTCACAAACTAACTCAAGTATTTACTGTTTCTTTAAGGTCCACCCAATATCAGTAGACCCCCGAGACGGGAAGACCAACACTGTCTTTCCTGGAGCCTGCTGGGTACCTAACACACAGTTCTCCATCAAACATCTACAAAGAGCTTCCATTTGCCCTTTCCAATCATTATTTCCATTGGAATTTCTCAGAGAAAGACACTGGAAAATTTGTACCACTTTGTTCACCCTACCCTAGACATGGTGGCTTGTCACCATTTCTCTTATGAGCCTCAGACAGCACTGCTCAGCGTGGTTGGCAAACATTTAGTGCTGCCCCTGGTGAGGTGCCCACTTTCCCAGAGACTTTTACACAACAACTCAAGTCAATTCACGACTGCTGTCTCTTGAAATAAAACAGTGGGACTGGTATTTTGTGTCTTCTCCCTCTTACTCATCTTTATTTATCTTTTATAGGAGTCTCAATCTTTGTCATTTCAGGGAAAAGCTGGTCTGTCATCATAGCTGGTTTGAACAGCTCTGCCTCGGGCAGTATGACTTTACTAAACGATGAGAACAGTGTGTCTTCTCAAACTACTTAATGGATTAATACATGGACTAAGACTGCATAGCCCAGATCCTGGACAGTGGGCAAGTTCAATTTTCCCTCTGCTACCAATTAATTTGATCTTCCTCCCATAATATCTTAAAAGAGAATACCTTAATCTTGAAAGAGAATCCAAAAAGCATCTTAATTGTTTTAGAAAGTAGTGACCCCTCTGATCCACAGACCAGTGCCCTTTTTGATCAAGGGGAGAAAACCACCGTTACACATGAGTCTCACAGCTTTGCCTCTGTCTGCTGTTGCGGTCGGAGCCGTGAACACGGGGAAGTCCAAGGTGCTGGCAAGTCAAGAACGTGACTATTTTGGCTCTAAGAAGCGTGTTCACTGAAGGTGTAAACTTGGTGTCTAATTGTACAGACAATTGTTAGGAATTGGGGGTGAGCTAACCATCCCTCACACCAGCCTTCAGGACCAACTCTGTGGCTCCCAGCTCTGCCCACCCCACCCCTCCTTCCTCACATTTCACATCCAGGGTGGGGTCCTGGACACACACCCCCACAGCTCTGACTGCAGAAACTGGCTTTCCCTAATGGTTAGTTGAACGTGGCCTTACTTGCCTAATATTTCCCTGAAGATCCATCAGTTACTATTAATTATTGTCTCTTGGCTCAACAGTACTCATCTGCCCTTTATCCACTCACCAGATAGAAGCACACATGACACTAGCTGCTCTGCCAGCAACCACAAGTAAGAAATACCTATAAGCACCCAGACGCCTTCCTAAGAAAATACAACACAGTGGTTCACAGGTAGGTTTCAGTCAGAAGAGAGCTCCCAGCCAAGAAAGTATCTGCAACACTGCCCACTTCCCAGCCCTGCTCTTCCCTGGGCCAAGATGTCACTGTGCACTCCTAACGTCTCTACTAGTTCCCAGCACACACCAAAGCTGCAGTTCATCATGAGTCAAATTATTGTGAGATGGATATCAAAGTGCAGGAAAAGAGGAGCACTGGGAATCTGCCTTCTAAAAGCAGGTGATAGGGTAAGGATTTCTGTCTTCTGAAGCAAGGCTGCAATAAAAACCACACAAGGATGACCAGGTAGTCGAACGGACTGCTCAAAACAATGCAGTTTGCAACAGACATATAAATAATAGGTGAATGCAACTGTTCGAAAGTAAAGGGTATAAGCAAAAACAAACAAACAAACAAACAAGGCCTGTGACATGCACCTCTTTTGGGAGGGAAAAAAAAAATCAGTGAATTGGAACCAGCTTTCTGCCATCTTCTACCTTGGGAAACAAAGTGTTTGCTGAGAAGTAAGACAGACTCTCGTACTTTAAGCTTGCTTTGTACAAAAATGGACAACTTTAAGAATTATGTGAAATCGCATTTCTAATTACTAACATATTACGGAAAACAGGTGATTTTCAGTGACTCTGGAAGAAAAATCCACAGGGCTTTTCAAATTCTGAATGCTCTTCTGCCCTTTAATCTACCTCTCACTGCTTCCCATCATGCCATATTACACTTTATAATCCTGGCTCTCTCAGAGGAAGGCACCCAGCAAAACTTCACTGTGGGTGGGCGGGGGGGGGGGGGGGGTGTGTGCTCCCCCACATTTCACGCAACTCTTGCTTCCACCAAAATAAGGAAGAAGTGGCACTGAGCCGGGTAAAGAAAGAGCACATTTCACGTTTCTGAGACTTCAAGTCTGTGACAGCTTACTGCCCACAACACAGTCCTGTGGAAAACCTCCAACAGGCAGCCTCTAACCCAAGGGCAAGGCCGAGCAGCTTTCTGAGGAACGGTCAAGCGAGGGGGCCGACCATCCCTGGTTCTCACCTCCCTCCCTGGCCCTGTCTCCAACAGCTTCTCTCCAGAAATAACTAAATGCATGAGATCACCCACAGTGAGAAGACAGAGGCGTGACACCTACCAGGTGTCTATTTATAGAAAGTGCTAACACTCCTCAGGAAAAGACCCTGGAAATCTCCTTGGAAACGCCCAAGCCTGAGCTCCCTCTGGAATTCTAGTGCGCTGATACCTGTGACTAAATAACCGCCTTTAAAACAGAACCCAAGAGTCAGAGGTACTTACGGCTTCCCCCCGGGGATTCCTGCCAGGTTTGGAGGGATCGTAGGTACACGCATGTGAGGGGGGGGATCAAACCCAACCTGGAAACAGAATAAGGCATCGCAGACTCAGTTTATGCAGGGTAGGCACTTTGTGACACCTCTAAAAACTTTTTACTAGAAACTCAGAAATCCCCAAAGCAACAGAAACAGGGACACGTGTTAACATTTCCCAAAAGAAAAATTATAATGCAAGAAGTAATACAGCCTCCACTAAATACCACAAGACACACTTCTTTTTTGGGAGGCAGGATGGCACATGATCCATCTGTGCATTGAGAACCAGCTTCCCATGGTAAATACGTCCTGTGGACTTAGGATGTTCTGCCTGTTCAAACAAGTACAAAGGACATATGCAGTCTGAGCCAGGACAACATGACTCAACTTCAGCAATATCGACGTTTTGGGCCAGATAATTCTTGGCTGAGGGCTGGCCTGGAATGGCGGGATAATAAGGAGCATCACTGGCCTCTGCCCTCTAAGTACCCATAGCAACCCCCAGTTCTGATGAACAAAAGTGTCTCCAGATACGACCGAATGTCCCAAGGGGGCAAAATCACCCGTTTCATGCCACTGGTCTAAGTCAACGCTTAGAAATTCACATACGGACTCTCTTTTTGTGCACCTAGTGCCTCGGCTGATCTGCCCTCCACTGCATAGCCTTTCCTAGGAGTGAAAAGGAAGGTAAAAACGATGCACTTTAGTATCATCTCCAGTTATTGGAGTAATGAAGAAGGGAGAGGAGAGAAATGCACATGCCATATTTCAAAGAGTCAACAGAAATGATCTAGGGACTTTCATTTGCTATGAGTTATAATCTAGTCCCTTTTCCTGATGCAGTCAAGGGCCACACGGTCAACTTTCCCCTTTACTGGCAGCCTGTCTCTTCCTGGTCAAGCATGAGGTCATTTACAGGGAGGGAGAAGGCAGAAGGAGGAGGCCCTGCCCCACAGCTTCAGTCCCTCTGTGTTTCTCCCTGTTGAGCTGAGACCACTGCTTACACCAAAATCATGCCGTTAGGTTTAAAGAATAATATAAGGGTGGGAAGAGAAAATAACAGCTTCTCAAATATTTTTTCCTAAGAATTAAAGAGGAGGAAAAAAAAATGTCAAGAAACGAATGAAAAGGCTTCTGTGAGCTACTGGAGTCATTTCATCGCCTTCCAGAGGGGAAAAAAAAGCCTACTTTGGTGGGAGAAAACCAGATGTCCCCTGAACCGCTGAAGGAGCTCCGAAACACTGCCTTTTTTCATCCACAAAAACAGTAAAACAAAAAGTGTTTAGCCTTAACTTAATGAAGCGGCATGTTGATGAAGGTGGACAAGAAGGAGGTGGGAGCAGCGGAGACACTGGGTCTCTGTCTGCAGGTGTGGGGCTGCTGGCCGCGGGTGCTCCGCGGGGCCCCACCCGCACCCCTCCCCAGTCCCTGCCATCCTCACCATCGGGGAGCGCCCGTAAGCCACCACGGCGGCAGCGGCCGCGGCTGCACTCATCTGCGGTGACATGTTGTGGAGGCTGGCGTAGGCAGCGCTGGGGCTGGTCAGCTCACCATTCATGCCCGCGTGGGGCACCATCCCGAACGGCGCGGGGTATGGGCCGGGCACCGCCAGCGGCGTCCTCAGGCCAGCTGCTGCAAGGAAGCACAAGCCGCAGTGACTCACCTGGCCACTCACGTCGGCCTGATCAATTCCAGGGCACTCTTCAGGGCCTCCTGTTATAGGGAAGGAGGGAAGGCTGGGGGTGTGCGGGGTGGGGGCCCGGGGGGGTTTTTGTGGGGGTGGAGGGGGTATCACCTCCAATTCCTACCTAGGGTCCTGGTCCCTTCTTCCCTAGAGCTGAATTCCTCTCCAGGAAAGAATGGGCTCCAAGGCGAGCACTGCCTACATATTTCCCCCTTGTACATCCACTTGCCAACACTGGGAAACCAGGGGAATTAAGCAGCACTACTGCACCTAACTGGCAGAATACACCACCTTCTGACTTAAACTCAGAAGGTTTTCCTGATAAAAATCCATGATTTGTCCTTCAGCTTGAACTTTCCATTTCTGGTACCAATCTCAAATAAAAACCTGATCCTGGATTTATGTAAATAAGAGCACAGGTTGAGGAGGAATATTCTGGGGCCTCTTTACCGCCTGGCCCAGGGTATTACATTCTCCCTTTCCCAGAGAGGAAGATACAGTTAAAAGTTATGAGTTTGTTCAGGGGCTGGAGTCTCAGTGAAACCCTCCCGATTTCTCCTGGAAGAGAGACCACTTATCCCTAAGGGATATACCAGCAGAACACTGGCCAACTAAGGCATGCAAGAAACACACGTGGGCCGGCCAGACCGGCTGTTTCGGTCAACATCAGCCATCTCAGACACACAATGATAGTTTGGTAAGGAGCTTACGGGCAGAATAATGATCAGAAACTTTATTGAAGTCCTTGGGATATGGATTATTTGGAAATAAAAGAAAAGCCAAATGTAAACAGTCGGAGACTGAACAGGGTACAGCTGCTGAAACCCAAGGACAAACATCTGTTTCTTATCACAGCTTTTCAGAGATAAGGAGGAGGGAGGCAGGCAGAAAGCACCTCTCGTATTCACGGGAAACGGCACAATGAGATGCACAGAGAAATCAAGTTGGGAAAGAGAAAAACAAAACACGGCCCACGAGAGGCGAGGCCTTACCCGCTTGGTTGACGAGGGGGTCCATGGCTGGAGGCTTGCCGAGGCCTGGACGGAGTCCTGGAGTGGCACTGGTGCCCGGCGTTGGCATGTCACTCCGCGGCGTCGGTGTGCTGGATTTCAGCACAGGCGTGCTGGCTTTTTCATGCTGGTATCATTAAACAAATTAAATGAGTATTATTTTTAATCCAAGCCATATTACACAATTTATCACAACAGCAGCTGGAACACTGGGCACCTTCTAGCTATTCCCTCGGCCAATTTTCATAAATCCACACAATGTTGACAGCATTAACTTGTGAGTGAGAAATGTTGACCTTTCCTCTTCCTGCCAGAATTAAAACTCTAGCTAGAGACACAGAACATGATCACACGCCTTCCTCCACAGATTTTATTTTAAAAAGTATTTTTCCATCAGGCTTGTGGACTTTGGATCTAGTCCAAGTAAGAATGATGACCACCCAGAGGAAAGTTCTCGGTCACTCAGAAACAAATGCCTCCAGCACCGAGAATAACAGAGGGAGGAACCCCCCTACCAACCTTTCCACCCTTGCCTTTTAGTGGCTGTGGGATTGAGACTGACAGTGAGAGACAGCTGAGCCATCAACTTGATGAGAAGCAAACTAGCATTTCATTTCAGAGGCAAAAGCCCTAGAACTAGCCCAATCATTTTAAGAGATGTACCTAAAAAAATAACTCTTTGGCACTCAGCAGCAGCACCCATTTGCCTACATAAACAGTGTGGACCCACTAGTGTAGAGATCTTCGGGAGTCAAGATGGTAACAGGGTCACAGGGCACCTTCTTCTGCATCTCAACCCTTCGTGTCTTTTTAGCCACTCTGAGAAGTGCTCTGGGACAGCAAGGAACACAGGCTAGAGAGACCCCAGCTCTTTCTGGCCTGGGAGTCCATGTGCTGTGTAAACTTGGCAGGCTCCTCAAGCTTGCCAACTTCAGGCCTGCCTCCCCATCAGTGAAATGGGATAATGCCTTGGGGGACCACACAGGGATTAACTGCAGGGTTGTCATGGTGAGTGGAGAGATGAGACACTCCACAATGTCTGGTGAATGACTGAGAGCATGAATGGGCCTGATACCACCCTCATCCTCCCCCAGTTCCAGGTTACCCCTGGTGCCGCCTTGAGTACATCACCATCTGCCCCATAACCCAATCACAACATGACCTGACAGGATGGGTCAGTCTAAAACCAGGGGAAATGCACCACTTAACAAAGTGAAGGACTTCATGGGGCCTAAGGCGTTCAAACCATTTGCCAAGTAAGAAGTTTCAGAGAGTCTGTGCCATGGACACATCCCCCAAGAAAGCAGACAACAGGCACGGAAGCTTATCTTGCTCTAATCATGGCCCAGAAGAGACGAACCAGAGGGAAAAAGGAATTACCCAGGGACAGAGAGCAGAACCATGAGTTTCACTTTAAAACCCTTAAAAATATAACTCAGTCATTAAAAACCCCATATTTCAAATACATTAGGGAACCTCTGGTTCCCCAAGAAAACAGAACTGCTAAATAGGCAAGTGACATTTCTTATGACCTACCAAGCTCATTTCTTTGGATTTCAAAGAAGTGGAACTTCCCGAGGAGGCAGTGGACGCCGGGCTGCTGGAGGCGTCTTTCTTCAGCAGGCGGGTTTTGTCAATCCCATTTTCCCTGGGTGAATGCGCGGGGCTTGCGCGGGGAGATGAGGGGTCCTCCAGAAGCACAAGCAAAGGTCTCATGACTTCACTCGCAACAGACGGCTCTTTTCCTTTACAAACTGTTTCCATACCAGTTCTCCAAATTAAAGGAGAGTGCTCAAAGCCCGTGAGATCTGGGCGACTTGAGGGCATGCACCTAATTCTGTCCTTACAATGAACAGGAAGGTGTCTGCAAGCACACTCATGGAGACGCCATAAAGAAAAAAATCTAGGAACAACTGTATCTCCCCTCATGCTCAAATACTTTGCCCAGAGGGCACGCGACAGGCAGGAGAACCAGACACCAACTCAGGAATCCAAAATGGTCAGGGAGACAGAATTTTTTTTTTTTAAAGAAACACGTTTGTGTTGTTTTTAGACCATCACTGCTCTGTCTAGGAACACTCAGTAAATTCTTAATGTGTAAAGTCGCAAAAGACCAACATACGGGGGCTCCACGTCCTTTCTCTCCCAAGTTGCTCTAAAAATAAAGCTTGATGAAGAGAACGGTTACCTCATTAGAAACATCCACAACTAAGTTGTCATCGCTTTTGTCACCATCGCTGTCCTGAAAAAAAGAGATTTTAATGCCATTTACTACAGGGATTGAGGCTCAATGAAATCCCTATAGTTCTTGGTAGCAGACAGACTAGAAAATGACCTGGGACATGCCTACAGGTTCCCTCACAGAATGCCAGCCCTGGTAATTAAGATCACCTTCTTCCCTTCTCATCTGACCCGGGGAGCCCCCGGCGGGAACTCTGTTGCAATAGCACACCAGCCATACAGTCACAGCGTGTATACAGGTGGTGGCAGGTTGTAAAACTTGGCGCACAGTAAAGACTCAATAAATGTTTGCAACAGCTCAATCTCTCATAACCCGAAGACTACATGTCCTTCTTTAAGAGATGTTTCCCCACCGGATTTCAAATTAAGAACACAATTTCATACCATTGCTTTTACATGTATCACCTTGAAGGCGGTCAACAATTCTAGTGTTCATGGGCAATTCATAATTATAAAGACAAATCTGGACCTTGTTCCCATGGGGTTACTAATTACTGCAAAAAAAATTATATAAAGCAAAAAAATAAATAAAGCAAATAACAAAAAAAGTACAAACAACAAAGCTAAGTCCTGGCTGAAATAACTACCAAGATCTAATCTAACCTCACATTGGCTCTTTAGCAATCAACTTGGAATATTCTTGAGATGGAAGGAAGATAGGGTGGCAGTGTCTGGAGGGCACTGGCATCCTACAGTAGAGCTTTTATGGTCTTGACATGAAGCCATAAAATTGGCTCATTAGAGGAAGCTTCATGGTTGCACTGAATTTGAAAAAGCTTCAGAAAAAAACTGTTCAATTTAATAACGTGATCACTCCTACAACAAGTTCAGGGCAGGCTGAAGAAGTCTACTTCCTTAGCCAAAAGGCTTTCTATGCCCTTTAGTGCAGAGTCATATAATGGACTACAAAAAAACAGGTTATCGCAAATAGGCCCTAATTCTCAAAAAGGAGCAGGCCCCGGGTTTATGATCTACACAGTTCTTATACTGATGTCACTGTCAAATAAGAATACACTAATAATGTCTGAAAAATATTAGTATAAGTGCAAACCCATTAACTTTCTGTGTACCCCAAGTCCAGCTAGAAAGATACCCCCAACTCTAAATGCATGTCTTAAATGTTTTATCTAGTCATACCTAAAGTGTTATATGAGGGAGACCCAACTGACTTTCTTCAATAATGTGTGACTAGATATACTTTAGTCATAGTTATAAAGGTCCCATGCAATTCACTAGCAATAACAAGAAATTACAACCAATGAGGAAGCCTGGGTAATTTAAAATAAGTCTTTTGAAAGAAGTATTTTTTCATGCAATAAAAGAAAAACTTACTACTAAAAAAAATTTGCTTTCTCTTAACAAAGCCCACAGAAAATCACAAACATTTTCAGGTACTAAGAAACCCAAGGTATGGGAATTCCCCGGTGGTCCAGCAGTTAGGACTCCACCCTTTCACTGCAGGGGGCATGGATTTGATCCCTCATCAGGGAACTAAGATCTGCATGCTGCACAGTGCGGCCAAACAACACAAGAACAACCAAAAACACTGATTAAAAGAAAGAAAAAGAAACCCAGAGTGACGGTGACAAAATATAAGCTGAAGGGGTTTCCCTTTAGGAAAAAAAATGTAGGAAAAAAAAAAGGTTAATGTAATGTACAGACCAACTGGTAAGAAGTAGCAAACAACGCATTTATTAAAATGGAACTGTGAAGTGAGTGCCTAAGTTGGCTGAAATGTAAATGTTAGCTTTGTATCAGATCATCTCCAAAATATAAACCTTCACAGTACAGTACATATCTGTCATCAAATATCTGAGGTCTGAATCCTTCACTCCACATTCTTCAATGTCATCTCAATACATCGTCCTCAACTACCAATACAACTAGACACAGCTAATAGCAGCAGGTTACGAAAAAGTCATGTAGGGCCATGGATTCTACATCACTCACTACTAAATAATTTATCCACACGAGCCTTGCACAGAGCAACTTGGAATTGTATCATTGGCAAGTGTGCAAATTTCAGTATGTCATGGCTGACGAACAATGTCATATATAAAAGTATCTGTGTGCAACACAAGTTCTGGGCAAATACATGCTAAAAAGGCTTGGGCTGGGGAGATCAACAATTTGGGTTCTTAAGTGTATTATTATGGTACAAAGTAGGTACCGATATTCTGTGGCAAAACATCCAATCCTAGGCTCCTGCTTTGGAAATCCTAGCATGGTTACCAAGAGCATGGATGCTGGAGTCAGACTGTCTCCAGGCTCTGCTTACTAATTCTGACCTTGGGCCAATCACTTAAGAGCTCTGTGCCTCAGTTCCTTTATCTGTGAAATGGAGGGACGGCACCAACTATACAGGGTGGTGTTGAGAGTTAAGTGAAACAAGCCACACAGAAGGATTCAGTGGCTGGCACTACCCTGAGGTGCTGCTCAAGAACTGTTGCCTGTTTCTAAATACTATATTAGCCCTCAGCTCGTGCCAGCTAGCAGGAGACAGAGGTCCAGCGTGGAAACCTCTGCACGGGAGCCAGCTGGAGGTGGACACGTTCTTCTCCAGGGGCATCCGGGAGTGGCTTAATTCACTCGCACTGCTTCTGAGAATGTGTCCATCCTGAAACAGAAACTCACGGACACACAAGGAAATGACAAGGCATCGGTTAGATGCAATGTTTATGACCCAAGACCACAGTCAATGGCCATATGGCTTGGCGTGCTCGCCTCACGAATGTGGTTTTAGCCTGATCTGAATCAAGAGTCCTCACATCAAGCTGTGTGGTCTCATCTGTAGAGTTTGAACAAGATGCCCCCAATGTTTCTTCCATTTTTACCACGGACTTCTATCATTGCACCATTCTCTGTAGCAGAGGACAGACTCTGACTTAAGACCTGATATGGACCTGAATCTATTACCACAATGGCATCCAAAAAGGCAGCTGATGACACCAAATTCTTATCCTCATTACTTCAGCACGACAGGTTACAAAATTTTGCAAGGCCTGGGACAAAATTAAAACACAGGCCCTGGCTCAAAAATTGAGCGCTTAAAGATGGTGGAGAACAGAGGATGAAACTAAGGCTGAGACAGGTTCCTTTTAAGAGCAGGGCCAGTGCAGCTGGCTCAGACCACACACCATGAAGCCAGTCCTACATTTCTGTATCCCCTCTTAGGAATAACTGTAGTAGAAAGCCCAAAATTTAATACGCAAACCTAGAAGATACATAATTTACAGCTCGAGAGGGAAATAATATCCTACAATGGAAGAATCTATCCTCTTGATACATTATTTTAAGGTATGTGAAATTATCAGTAAGATCTTAGAGTCTTTTGTAGACTCACTTAGAAGGTGAGCAAGAAGACAAACAAAATATTATTTCAAGCCCTTTATTTACTTACATAGTGGCTGGAGTCCTTATCGTCCACCTTTCTTTTTTTGATGTCATTAGAAAACTCAGGTCCATTTCTGCGTTTATCTGTGCCTCTTAGACTGTCTGGGACCAAGAGGGAATTACTCTGCAAGACCAAAAAAAAAAAAAAAATTAATCAAAGATTTCTTCCCAAGTCTCTTTGTACACATGAAAACCCAACCTGGATGTGACAGCCGATTTGGAAAGGTGATACCTACACAGCCTTTCATTCCATTTAATTCGTCTCATCTGAAGACGTAGATGGCAAACATTTATAGAGATTTAAGCACTTAAAAGGGAGACCCTGACTATGCAATCAAGCCATCCAAAGCCTCGTGGATCCTTCTGGCCCTACTCACTTAAAATGCTCCTCTGTTCTGTCTGTTCTTAGAGAAATGGGAGCCTGCTGTTTATATGTGGATGTGTTTTTATTCTTTCCCACTGAGACTCCCTGGTCTGGAATATGAATGGTCTATCAGCAAAACCTGAGATCACTCTATTAGACATATTCTGTCACTGTAAGAGTCAACGTGGGCCTTTCTAAAAAGGCACAAAGAGAGCGGGTGGGATTAACAGCATGCTTTCCTAAAAGGCAAATCACATTTTCCACAGTCACAATGAAGGAACTCTTTTGAATTCTTTTAATTTATTGTTGAAAATAAGATTTGGTGTTCCTTGCCAAGAGCACTGAAATTTAAGACCCAAAGCAGGAATTCCAGCCAGTGAATCTTCAACAGCAAGGCCAGCTCCCACACACAAAAGCAGGAACAAGGACTAATCTTTTCCACAAACCACACAGGATACTTTCCTTCACATGTGCTGAGTATGAACTGCTGACCCAAAGAAAACAGGCATTTTAGATATCTGAGGGTCACATGACACCATCTGACATCCCTTCAATTCCCATCTCCCCTTGGGCTAAAGCATCAGAACATGTTACAATGAGTTCTTTTAAGTGTGGGATTAGCATATGCAAGAGGGCAATTTGCTCAGTGATGTGTTACTGCCTTGAACAATGCTGAACTGGCTGTGCAAAAACTTCCTTTCTCAAAGCCCAGATAACCTCAATTTCTGAAAGATGCTGGAGAACTCAGTCCGGGGCCAACAAACAGCGATACTACCTTTCTAGGCTGCAAATTAAAATACAAAGGGGCTTGGGGAAACCTTGAAGTAAGACCACCTCTAATGCAATAAGTACCAGGAGCAAATCTTTAAATAAAGGTCCATTTTAAGAGGCCCTGGATGGGTCTTCCGTCCTAACCAGCCCAAGGAAATTAGCCAGGTGGCTTGCTCTCACACGGCCCCCCTTCCGTGCCCTGTGAAAACTGGGGACCCCACCATGGGAACATTCTCAGCTCAACCACACTCAGGAGGAAATCAAAAGGCATGCTGAAGCGCCTCTGCCCGCGTCAGTGGCTGCCTCCGAAGCAGCGAGCTTTCATTCATGCCTGTTCAAGCTCCACAAGTGCCGGGAGGCTTACATAAAAGCAGTGGTAGGAACCAACACAATTCAATATAGAGAAGCTCAGAATAACGTCTCGAGCACAGTGTGGGGCTGAAAGGTGAGCTGGCTGGATCCCTGAACTAATTACCTTGGCAAGCGTCTGCTAAAAACTAACCCCTCTGACCCAGACCAAATGCCTGACAGGACGCAGGAGACTTAACAAAACTCCTGTGAAGTGCTAACACACGCACCGGGGAGGGGAGCAGCAGCTTGCACTCACGTGGAAAAAGTGTCCAAACACGTTTGTCTGTGTTCTAGATCGTATCAGCCCGCAAGTCTCTTCCTCCAGACTCAGACCGGAAGCAGTGAGGGCCAGGCTGCACCACTCTCAACCTGACATCTACCCATGCGTCCAGCATAACACAGCAGTGTTGGTGTCCACTGGCAATTTTAAAGTCTCTTTCTCCAGGATCTCCTGAGCAGCTCTCCTGCTACGACTAGCACTGGGCATCCAAACCACTCAGCTACTCAAAGACAGCTTTCCAATGATCTGATTTTTTTCTAACGTCAAGTGGGACTGTGATCACAAAAGTAAATTATGTGCCTTCTAGGAACAATGCAATTTTTGCTAGAAACAATAACATTCCTCTGGCTGGACCCTGGCGAGCTGAGAGGCTTCTGCATCTCCAAGTCAGAAGTTAAATTCTCATTCCTGTTTGAGCAGCTTAAGTGAGGCCTATAATCTGAATGAGTTCTGCAAAGCTCTGAAAGTACTTCTAAATTTAGATGGGGTTGGTAATTAGCACTCCTGCTTATCTGAAAATTGGCTCCATTCAGATGGAAGATTGAGACAAGTTACAAAATGAAATGTCTCATCATACCTTTGATGGTATAAAACTGATTCAAAACATGGCAGCAAGGAGTGTGGGCTGGAGAAGCCTGGGAGAGCACAGTCTGGAGCCAGGGAGTGCCCGGCCCACGCTGCAGCCCCACCTGTGACGAACCACTTTCTCGTGGTTCTCATGTGCCCTGTTTGCTGTAATTGTCCCCAACATCTTCCAGCCCCGACACTGCTTTCATTGTTGTTCTTGGCTTAAGCAAATAGTTCCAGCCTAATGAACTTCAATTCACTGTTGGCAGCAACAGTTTTCCTTAACTACTGCCTAGGTGACCCTCCTTTTTCACCGTTCCCTCATTTGATCCTCAGAACCTGCAAGTGGCCACATGGGTAGGGCTGGCTGTCTCCTGACACCGTTAAGTCTTCTCCCCTTGGCTATGTTTTGTTCTCACACACTGTCTTATGCTCCTCAGGGCTCAGCAGCAGAACAGTCATTCTGACGGCTGTTCTGAGACATTTTACACACATTTTAAGAATGAAGAGACTATACCTGGGTGCTGACTGAATATCCTTTGGGTCCTTCAAAATTTAGGGTTCTATTCTGATTTGTTAGATTTGAAAGTGAAGACAGAATCATATTTAACATGGAAATTTAATATTCAATCAACATTTAAGAAGAGCCTGTTTGTAAAAGAATAAAACTGAGGTTGCTTCAAGTTACTGAGAAAGTCATGCATTCTAAACACAGAAGACAGTTAGGACCAAACCTCTGATGAGGCTAAAGCAATCTTAACACATATTCATTGTCTTTATCCCCCTTGTTTTATGTAGGGGACGTCCAGAAGGGGAGGTGATTTTCCTGAAGTCAAGAAGCTTCGGTCCATTAAGTCAAAGGGCCTGCACTCCCAAAAGAGTGATTTTAAAACTCAGTTTATGTACATCGAATACTTGTACCCAAATACTTGACCCCCCCAATACCTCTCACTTAAAAGTCATATTGGCTCTTTAACCTAGTGAGCCTAAAATTCTAATGTGATATCATAACGACTAATGCATCCTCCCTTGGATTTCCTCCTAACCACAGACCCATGTTGCTTTACTTGGTACATGCCCACCGTAACAAAATTATGAACATAGTATCAAAAAACAAAAACATTTTACGGCTTACTTTTAAATGACCTGAAAACAATCCCAAATTCCTGGCTTTCCACTCACGATTCCTGCCATTTATAATCCAAGAATCACACTAAGAAAACACCCCAGCAGAGAGCAACAAAATAGCCCAGGTATCCACAGCCCCAGTTTCATGCCCCATCAATTATTGTCAACCTATTTACTGCTTCTCCCCCTGGAGTCTGTATTTTGAAAGGTATTTATCTCCCAAACAGCATTCATCAAGTAAAATTCACTTTTCAAATATTTATTTGCCAAATAAATATTTAATTGTGAATCAGAGTTTTTTAATCAACATGTTACCACACTGACGACTCTAATTCTAGCCAAGAAACTTGATGTTTTATTTCACCTTGCAGCTGGTAAAATTTAATTATCTGCCAGAATTTTTCAAACACTGTAATTACTGGGCAGACTTCTATTACAAATGTTCCGAGAGCTGGGATTTCCAGACTGTATGTAAGTTTTTGTTTGTTTAAAATTTTTCTTAAGAACCAAACAAAATCATCTTATTTACCTTATGTCTTCCCTAGAAGAACTCAAAAATAGAAGTTTCATACAGCCCATGGGGGATATTACAAATCTGAGCAAATCAAGATCTAAAAACACACAGTTTTCAAAATAAGCTAAAATTTGAAAACCTTGATGAGTTTCTGCACCGTTCAAGTTGCACACACTGGTGGGAACCAAGCCAAGTAAAACGATAAAGGGAGAGGCAGACGAAACAAGTCTCTAAAGAAAACAAGGTCCCCCTGGAATGCTCAGCCCAGAGACAGTGTCTAAAAGACCCGTTGTCCCAACTGGCACACTTTTCTCTCCATCTATATAAAGAGACGATTCATGTAATGATTAGATGAGGTCTAAGAACAGAGAAAAGGTATGAACCACAAGAAGGGACCCATCCCTTCCAAAATCTGGAATATCTGAGAACCTAAAACCTCACTAGGCATGTGAACTGATTAACAGGTGAATTGTTCACTATGGTTACCCTGTACTTCCCGAGTCACTTCTTGCACTAACAGTGATGTGATGGTTAAGAACAGAAACAAGAATGAGCAAAAAAGCTACCCAGAAAGCATAGGAAGCCTTCAAATGTTATAACCTGTGGTCAGATTCAGGGCACAATTTCCCAAATAGGTGAAACATGTTGCATAAAAACACACCAGAATCATTCCCTGCTCAAGATGAGTGGGCCCAAGTTAACTAGAGAGTTGGTGGTATTTGAACTAGTGGGTAGAAGTGGACAACGTAGTCTCTTAAAGTAAAAATAAAATCCAGACATGTAAGTAACAAACCATACCTTCCTATAAAAACTTACAATTTAATAGAAGAATCTTTTGAATTTCAAAGAGCATTCAGTTGAATCAGAAGAAAATGTCAAGATTTGGACTTTGCATTACCTTTATTCTGACCATTCTAGAAAATAATGTTTCTGTTTCATGCTCTGAACACCCACCCACTCAAGACCAACATAGACTTAGCTGCTTTAATATGAATAATAAACAGCCTTTATAGTCTTTTTCCAAGAATTTTACTTTTCTTGGGCAATTTAACAAGAATGGTTGTTCATGTATACTGAGGTATTTTGGAAGGTAAACTCCAGATATATGAAAGAGAGCTGGTTTACACTGTTAATGTTGCCAGAACACTT